CACATTTCCAGACCCTCAGCCCCCCAAGGAATTTTGCGCACAGAGCCCCTGAAACCCCTTCAGCCCTTACGCTTGGTGATCTGAGATAAGAGCTACAGCCAGTTTTTCCCCAAGAATTAAGGGACATGAGTTCCTATAAGGAGACATATTAGGGACTATACTGAACTACCAAAGGGGCCCCCTATGTCAACCCTTAACTGCGCCTTTGTAACCTACTGATCCTGGATCCCTTGCACCGTTACCATTAGGCTCTATAGATGCCACCCTAAACCCAAAATGAAGATTACACTAAAGGCTTCCCTAAATGGAGGTTAGACTACAAGTGGGTTTTCGCAGTACTTTCGGTACCCTAACTGGTGCAAGATGCTGGATGGAGCAACAGTGCGCGCAGCTTTTACGGAAGGGGCTTACTATAGCGTCTCCAGGAAATGTCAAGATCAACCTGCAAAACCTTTTATAACCTACTGGTGCTTAAGGGGGAGTGGGGGAGGGTATATAGGGTTTAGGGTTTAGGGATGTAGGGTCTGGATAATTAACACCGTTCTGGAGCTTTGACTACGACGCGCTTTTCATAAGCTTAAGGAGGTGTTGATACAACAACCATTTTGAAAAACCCGAAACCTAAACCGCAAGCCCTGAGCTAAGGTAGCTTTGGCGGCCCTGTACATCAATTTCTTACGGCTCTATAGGGATTCCATAAGCATTAAGGGGAAAAGAAATTAAAACTTCATGTCAAACCTGATGCTGTAAAACTCTAACCAACTTCTCAGATGAGCCATTGTCTAAAGTCCTAGCATCGCCGTTAATAGTCCCTATACTACTCCCCTATCTAACCCCCCTTTCAGGAGTTTAGACCCTAAACCCTAAATCCTGAAACTCAACCCTAAACCCTCTAAACCTAAAATGTAAACCCTAAACCCTACATAACCCCCTTTCAAAGAGTTTAGACCATAGCTCATATGACTGCCGCCGGCCTCGAAGGCGGCGATGGCTTGCAGCTGCTTCTGGGCCCTCTCCGACAAGTCATCCTGTCAAAGAGAACACCAAAAGGGTTTAGGGGTTTAGGGGTTTAGGGTTTAGAGTTTGGGGTTTAGGGGTTTAGAGTTTGGGGTTTAGTGGTTTNNTTTAGAGTTTGGGTTTTAGGGGTTGAGGAGAACACCAAAAAGTTCTCATGCAGAGGTCATGATGAATATTTTAGGTATGGGGGTATGGGTATGTAGGGTCCTTGTGAAGCGAACAAGGGAAAATATTTGAATCCTTTAGTTGGTTGGCCGTCAGACCCCCCCCCACCC